AAGCTACAGGTGGAAGCTACAGGTGGAAGCTACAGGTGGAAGCTACAGGAGGAAGCTACAGGTGGAAGCTACAGGTGGAAGCTACAGGAGGAAGCTACAGGTGGAAGCTACAGGTGGAAGCTACAAGTGGAAGCTACAAGTGGAAGCTACAAGAGGAAGCTACAGGTGAAAGCTACAGGAGGAAGCTACAGGTGGAAGTTACAAGTGGAAGATATAGGAGGAAGTTGCAGGTGCAAGCTACAAGTGGAATCTACAGGTGGAAGCTGCAGGTGGAAGTTACAAGTGGAAGCTACAGGAGGAAGCTGCAGGTGGAAGCTACAGGTGTAAGCTGCAGGTGGAAGCTACAGGTGGAAGCTACAGGTGGAAGCTACAATTGGAAGCTACAGGTGGAAGCTGCAGGTGGAAGTTACAAGTGGAAGCTAAAGGAGGAAGCTACAGGTGTAAGCTACAAGTGGAAGCTACAGGTGTAAGCTGCAGGTGGAAGCTACAGGTGGAAGCTACAAGTGGACGCTACAGGAGGAAGCTACAGGTGGAAGCTGCAGGTGGAAGCTACAGGTGGAAGCTGCAGGTGGAAGCTGCAGGTGGAAGCTGCAAGTGGAAGCTACAGGTGGAAGCTACAAGTGGAAGCTACAGGAGGAAGCTACAGGTGGAAGCTACAGGTGGAAGCTGCAGGTGGAAGCTACAGGAGGAAGCTACAGGTGGAAGCTGCAGGTGGAAGCTACAGGTAGAAGCTGCAGGTGGAAGCTACAGGAGGAAGCTACAGGTGGAAGCTGCAGATGGAAGCTACAGGTGGAAGCTGCAGATGGAAGCTACAGTTGGAAGCTACAGGAGGAAGCTACAGGTGGAAGCTGCAGGTGGAAGCTACATGAGGAAGCTACAGGTGGAAGCTACAGGAGGAAGCTACAGGTGGAAGCTGCAGGTGGAAGCTACAGGAGGAAGCTACAGGTGGAAGCTGCAGGTGGAAGCTACAGTTGGAAGCTACAGGAGGAAGCTACAGGTGGAAGCTGCAGGTGGAAGCTACAGGAGGAAGCTACAGGTGGAAGCTGCAGGCGGAAGCTACAGGAGGAAGCTACAGGTGGAAGCTACAGGAGGAAGCTGCAGGTGGAAGCTGCAGGTGGAAGCTACAGGTGGAAGCTACAGGAGGAAGCTACAGGTGGAAGCTACAGGAGGAAGCTGCAGGTGGAAGCTACAGGAGGAAGCTACAGGTGGAAGCTACAGGTGGAAGCTACAGGTGGAAGCTGCAGGTGGAAGCTACAGGTGGAAGCTGCAGGTGGAAGCTACAGGTGGGAATCCCGAGCCGTCGTCTCTTCCCCCGACTTCTAACAACCGCCACCCGACCTCTGTGTACCTACCGGGGGACATTGCTCCCTCACCTCGGCACCGGCATTACAATCACGGGGTCGCGGTGGTTTTTAATGGGAGCAGGATGGCCTAGGATCCTGATTGAGCAGTTGCGAGTGTATGTGTGAGGGGTCCCGTGTTTCTGGGGGTCTGCGTGGACCTAGGGGGCCCAAATTTGTCTGTGGATTTGTCGAATGTGGGGGTCTGGTGGTCCTGAAAGCCTTGAGGCCGCGGGTGTGAAGGCGCGGCGCCAGGCCGCGGGACCACGTCCTTTACGGGGGTCGCGTCGGACTTCAAATTCCTTTGGCGGCCGCCGCTTCCTGATTCCTTCTCCTCCCTCCGTGTGGATGGAGCGCGGGCAGCAGCCACCAGACACGGGCTGCCAACCCCGACCCTCACCACGCTGCGACTCTGAGCTCGACCTTGCGCTCAGAAACACGGCACGTGACCGAGCGGGCAGATCACGAGCCGCAGTTACCGAAGGAGAAAGTATCCCCCTCCAGTTCTCGATTAGTGCGGCTCAGAAGCTGGCTTGCAGTGACAGATACATGTCACGTGCAGGCTCTTCTCTTGTGGTCGCGGCGTCGCGGGCCGGATCTGTCCCACGTGGTTCGGGCTGCCCGGTTTTGTGGGGTTCGGGCGTTTGGGGTTTCGGGGATGCGTCTGGTGACTGCATCTTGCTCTCTTGAGCCTCTGAGCCACCCTCTCTCACGTTCTCTCCCTGTCTCATTGCCACGACGTGAGCGGTGAGAGAGGAGGAGGGGGGTGAGGGGAGGGGTGAATTTCCCAGCGGGCCGTGACCCCGCCCGTCTCGCCGAGTCTCAACACGGCTCGCTGTGAATGCGCAATGTCCGATATGATCTCGGAGGAAAATAGCGGCACGGGTCCCCTCCTCGCCACGCGACCTTTAATTAACACCCCCCCCCCCCCGCCCTCGTAGGAACCACAATCCCCACCTCCCATACCCCTGACTCCTGTCGAGACAAATCCCGCTCTGAGCCCTGACTCGATTCCCGAAGCCCCGACTCCCTCTTCTGAGCGCCAACCACAAGCGATCTCCGTGCGAGTGGGTTGCCGTGAGCGCACGTGGCGTTCGCGCCGTTCTCATGGCACAGGACCGTCACCACTCAGGAAAGCGTCGCGGTGTTCTCGCGGAGTGGCCGATGTTGCTCGCTGTTATCCGAATTGAGTCATTCGCGGGGGTAATTTTTGCAAATTTGACGCCGTCACACGAGGGAATGACGTCACTGGATATCGAAGTTCGCCGTGAATCAAACGGTGCGGAGTCTGACAATGCTTGATAGACACCCCGCATGAATAACCACACATGGCGAGTGCGCTACCCTGGGCCATGTTGTGATTGTATTTCACAGGGACACAGACGGCGACGACAGCTGTGTACCCCGTGAACCCGGGACAGCGATTGACTACGGGCCGGGATCAAACGGATGAAATAAAGAGGCGGATGGGACCAGGGTAGAAGAGCCCTCCAGAAGTCACGGGACTTGGCAATGAGAGGCAGCAGAGCGGTGTCCCACACTCCGGCGCGGATTCATCCTCCTCCACCTCCTCATGACGAGCTCTTCTCCGCTCTAGTGATGACTCCCAGGCCGCAGTGATGGGTATTTAAATCAAGCGGCCGTCGACCATTGTCACGTGGCTGTTGTGAAGCCTTTGTGGGACTGCGCTCCGGATTGTTGTCACGTGATCCGCTCCTGCTTTTGGCCACGTTGCCCGTGCGTGCGAGCGCAGCGCGCTATGAAAGGCCATTGCCCGAAACGTCGCCTGTCGTACATCGAAGGCCGAAGGGAGCTGCCGTGGTGTAGTGGCCAGCAGCGCACTGGGCTAGGAATGCAGAAGTCGCCAGTTCGAGATTCTATCTCCGGGCGCGGCAGTTGAGACACCGGCGGAACGTTTCTCAAAGCCCCTCTCCCCCCCCCCCCGTCCACACAGCAGCAGCAGCCGCAGTGTGAATGCGTTCAGCACAGATGGTGTATGAACGGCAGGACGCATTTGGTGGGATAAAGTGTGGGTATTCCCACCTCTTCCGGCACGTTTCGTCAAAGTGGAAGAGTAGAGGAAGAGTAGGCGAAATAATCCCCAACCCTAGTGGAGGCCCAGTCTGCCTGCAGTGGCGTGAGCGGGAGCTTGCAGGGCTGCGCCTGTACCTTTCCCCCTGAGGAACGAGGGCAATTGAACCACGCGGTGACTTGGGCCGCCGTGCCGTGTGTACGTTCGCACAAGCCAATCTGTGCATTCATGACTAACATCAAACTGTAAACGGTTACCGGATCCTCACACTCAGGACTGGTTATGTGTGACGAGGTTATTATTTAACAACCCGAGTAGAAACCAAACCCGGCCGAGCTTCTGAGAGCCGACGAGGTGGAGCGAGGCCGGTGCTGTCCCTCCTCTGCCCCGCGTCGCTGCTGCTGCTGCTGTCGCTGTTTGCCACGAGAATCACCTTACCCCGCGTGCCCCGAGTCTCGTGTCATGTTACACGAGGCAGTCGTGGCGCACCGAAGATGACGATGATAATCTAGACGATGATGATGACGATAATGATGAAGACGACGATGATAATGAAGACGATGATGACGACGACGATGATGACGACGACGATGATGAAGATGACGATGATGAAGACGTCGATGATGATGATGATGAGCGAGAGAGGCGTGGTCTGCACTGTCCAGGTGCACGGCCACCCGGGGGGTCGCGGCGGGTCACGCGTCGCGAGCCGCTGCTGTTGCCAGGGGCTGTTCCGTGTGCCTCGTGCTCAGCCCCAGGTGAGCCCCAGAGGAGTTCCAGCCAGGTGAGTCGTGCCCACAACCGCGACTCCACGCAGACGGGCCGAGTCATTTCCACAGCAGCGCCCCCCAACTCCGCCCCAAGCACGCGCTGCCGACAGCCGCCCTGAAAAACAACGCGGCAGCCAATCAGAGGCGCGCGCGCGTCTTGGGGTCGCATTTCGCGTGGCCACAGCGCGAAAGGTTGCGAGGAGGAGAGACGGTGTCCAGGGCTAGGGGTTGGGGACGAGGGTAGGTCTTGAGTTATGACTTAACCATGGTCAGGATTAGGGTTAGGGTTGGGGTGAGGGATATGCTTGGCGATGGGATTAGAGATCGGGTTGAGGTGGTGAATAGGGTTCGTATTAGGGGTTGGGGGAGTCGGAGGTGGGAGGGGGGTTGTGGGTGGGGAGAGTGGAGGGAGCGAAGGAGTGAGCGTGGAGATGGATGGAGAGAGGAGGCTATGGAAAAGAGGACGTCACGGATGAAGGCAGTGGAGGAGAATCAAGGACAGAGGAGTGAGGCTGTGTAAAGTGAGAGGATCATTGGTACGAAAGGGTAAAGGGCATGAGGGGTGCGGAAAGTGAGAGTGGAGCGAGGGAGGGAGTGTCGCCGGGAGTGGAGGAGAGAGAGAGAGAGAGGAGAGAGAGGAGAGAGTGAATTTGGTGGCTCGGAGGCGCGCGGTCTGGTCACGTGCTCCGCGCGCCACAAAGCACGGCGCGCGCGACCGCCCACGCGCCGAGCGGCGCGCGCAGGGGAGAAGAGGGGGGGCGGGGGAGAGGGGAGAACGGGGGGCGAGAACGAGGAGGGGGAGCGGCGCGTTTCCGTGAGGAGCCTTCCCGGATCGCGCATTCCATGTGACGGTGAGCACGGGTCCTGGGGAGCACGGGTGAGCTCGGCTACGGGTGAGCTCGGCTAAGGGTGACGTTGGTGTGCGCCGGGGTGGGTGAGCGCTGGTGCAGATGAGCGAAGCTGCGGGCGAGCGCGGTTGGTGATGAGCGCTGATGCGGGTGAGCGTAGCGGTGGGTGAGTGTCGGTGTGAATGTGTGCTCCTGTGTTTGCGCAAGTAGTGGGGAGCAGTGGTGCAGTGGTGATCGCATTGCGCTGTTAACCCGGCGACCCGAGTTCGATTCTCACTCAGTCGAAATTCCTGACGAATATCTGAACCGGTCGTCGGTCCTCCCTTAGGTCAATTCGGCCTTAAATGAGTATTGGGTGCAGTGTGTAAACATAATCACTGTGGAGACAAAGGTGGCCGAGCGTGGTTCTTGCCACTCCACCCCCTCGTGTGCTGTATCGGTCTTCATAGGGGCTTGTTAATAACATCAGCGCCAGCAGTCTGTGTGGGCTATACGGGGGATCTTTGTCTATATGCGGGGTGTGTGGCCTGTGTGTGTGTGGTGTGTGTGGTGCGCGTGGGGCGCGTGGTGTGTGTGTGCGGTGTGTGTGTGTGCGGTGTGTGTGTGTGTGCGGTGTGTGTGTGTGCGATGTGTGTGTGCGGTATGTGTGTGTGGTGTGCGGAGTGTGCGTGGTGTCCGGGGTGTGTTGTGTGTGCCGTGTTTGCGGGGTGTGCGGTGTGTGTGTGTGGTGTGTGTGGTGTGTGGAGTGTGCGTGGTGTGTGTGTGCGGTGTATGTGTGCGGTGTGTGTGTGCGGTGTGTGTGTGCGGTGTGTGTGTGCGGTGTGTGTGTGCGGTGTGTGTGTGCGGTGTGTGTGTGCGGTGTGTGTGTGCGGTGTGTGTGTGCGGTGTGTGTGGTGTGCGGGGGGTGTTGTGTGTGCCGTGTTTGCGGGGTGCGTGGTGTTTGCGGGGTGTGTGGTCTGTATGTGTGTGGAGTGTGTGGGGTGTATGGGGTGTGTGTGGGGTGTGTGTGGTGTGTACGGTGTGTGTGTGTTTTGTGTGGTGTGTGTGGTGTGTATGGTGTTTGTGGTGTGTGTGGTGTATGTGGGGTGTGTGCGGTGTGTGTGCGGTGTGTGCGCGGTGTGTGCGTGGTGTGCGGTGTGTGTGGTGTTTGCGGTGTGTGTGGTGTTTGCATTGTGTGTGGTGAGTGTGCGGTGTGTGTGGTGTGTGTTGATCCATCCGCTACCGCTGTAGCAGCAGCAGCAGTCTGATTGTGAACCCTGGGCGTGTACGAGGCTCGAGACCCTGGACCCCGTTGATGCTGGGCCCCCTTCACCAGGGCCACTCGCTTCCCCGTGACCGCGTTACCCCGGTGCCTCCACCGTTGCTGCTGCTGCTGTTCGCGACACGGGCTCGTCGCGAACAGCAGCAGCAGCAGCAGACGCGTCACGAGCGACTCGTGTTCACACGAATCATTTACAACACCCGCATTCACAACGAGAGGCTGCCCCAGGTCTCTGGCATCCCCAGATTTCTATCGCGGGCTCCTGCCAGCCTAGGCACTGCGTTTCCTTTGTTGCTGAAATTGCAGCATCAACCAGGTCTCCCTCACCGCGCTCTCCGGCCTCGTCCCCCAGGGCCCGGCGCGGTCATGGCCGAAGAGGCGGCTACATCGGAACAGGTCCCGGGCCCCGAGGGACCCCAGGAGGAGGATGTTCCCGGAGATGCCGCGGGGTCCTCCCCGCTGCCGTACCCCGGGTTGGCCCCCGTCGCCTTCTTCTGCATGCGGCAGACGAGCGGCCCGCGCAGGTGGTGTCTCCGCCTCGTGTGCGACCCATATCCTCCTCCTCCTCCTGCTGCTGCTCCCTCCCCCGCGTGCCGGAGGGCGGGTAGACACGGGACGAGGCGGTGGTGGTTGATGTTCGTGGTGATGGTGGCAATGCTCGTTGCGCGGCCACTCGCTGGCGGTGGCCGCTCACTAGCACGCAAGGAACAGGGACACCTGAACTCCACACACACACACACAGACATTGAGCCCCCCCCCTCCACACACACTAACCCTCTCACCCACATACTGCTCTCTTCCTCCGCACACTGACCCCCCCCCCCGCACATTGACCCTTGCCCCTAGCACTGACCCCCACGAGCGCTGACAGGTGAGGCCCCCGTAGTGTCTTTTATCCTTGACTCTCGGCGCCACGTGATTGGTCCATGTAACTGAGCTCCAATGACCCCGGCGGGGGTGGCGCGTTGGGATTCAGGGAGTGGGGGTGGGTCGGGGGGTGGGGGGGGGTCGGGGGGTGGGTCGGGGGGTGGGGGGGGGGTCGGGGGGTGGGGGGGGGGGTCGGGGGGTGGGGGTGGGTCGGGGGGTGGGGGGGGTGGGTCGGGGGGTGGGGGGGGGGTCAGGGGGTGAGGGGGGGGTCGGGGGGTGGGGGGGGTGGGTCGGGGGGTGGGGGTGGGTCGGGGGGTGGGGGGGGGGGGGTCGGGGGGTGGGGGGGGGTCGATGGATAAACAGCTGCAGGAGGCGGCGGCGATCCGAGACCCCCTCTCCCCGCGGGGGTCCCTGCTCCAACCAAAGTACCCAGGGGCTCGGCGCGACTCCTGGGTCGTGAAGGGAGCTGAGGCTGGAGGAAAACTTTGAATGACCCCCCCCTCTCCCGCTATACTCACCAGAGAACCGTGGTGGTGGTGGGGGGGGGGTAGACTCTTCCAAGCGGGACACGCGGCGCCTATCATGGAGGGAGACGCGCGCGTCTCTGTGTGGGAGACAGATATCAGAGCGGAGATGGTCACGGGCAATAGCCCGCGGAGAAGAGCAGAGAGAGAGAGAGAGGTTGTGGGCATGAAATTGCTCAAACACAATGGATGGTCTGAAGTGGAGGGCGGTGGGGGCGAGCGGGGGGAGAGTTGCACGCTGCAGCTGCGGCAGCGGAGAGGGAGCGAGGCGACCTCGTACGGAGAAACATAAACCAGCAGACTATTCGCATCCTTCTCACATTTGTCTCTCCACATAAAACAATACAAATCTTCTTAACACATCCATCATCCACGCGGCATTCTGAGTGATTGTTTTTCATCAGCTTTGGTTTCACACGAGCAAAACTCCGGACCGGTTTCGTCGTTCAGTGTCTCATCAGCAGAGTCAAGCGTTGGTTGAACCAATGCTGCGAACTTCCCAATGCTAATAGGCAAGCACCCTCTCTTTGTTAGGCCAAGTTATATACATAACCAAGCAGAGAATTCGCCGTCTCCTTACCGTGTTGTCTCTCCACACCACAAATAAAAGTGGTCTTTGTTGACCATTATTCCTGAGCAGTGGTGCCAGGCGGAGAGCGCGCCTCGTGAGTGCGGCGTGCATAGTCGGGAGCACGGATGTCGAGTGTTTCCCCGCAGCGGTTTGGCCCCATGGGGAGGGGGCCATGGGGGCACCCGCCCCCGTTGTTCAGGCAGCGCCGCCGCCGCCGCCGCCGCGTCTGAGATTTGCGTTCCTCCAATTTGTCGGCGGCGCAAGTGCCGCCGTTGCCACAGAGACGCGAGCGCTGATTGGCTCCTCGGGGCTCCTTGCGCTGGTAGCAGCTGTCAATCATTGGGTCCCGTCACGTGGGGCTTTGATACCCCGAGGCGCCCCTCCCGCTCCTGTCCCGCTATCTCCCTTCACTCGCGTGGCGACCGTGGCAGGCGAACACTGTGAGATGGGAGGCTGATGGGCAATGTGGGGGTTCTGGTGGGAGGGCGATGGTGGTGGTGATGATCGCGCGGTGAGTGTTGCTGGTGATGTGGTGCTGCAGCGCCAACGAGGACGCCTCCTCCTCCTCTCCGAGGAGCGGCGCCCCCTCGTTACGCGGCTCTGGTTCCGCGTCGCCGCGAGGGGTCGGGGTGGAGCGGGGGTCCCTGCTGCTGTAACCGCAGCCGGGCGCCGGCCCGGTAATTACCAATTAGCGCCATCGTTAGCGGAATCAGTCGGCGCCTTCACGGAGAAACGGCGCGGCCGCCTCTCCCGGCTCCCACACCGGCCTCGCCCTCGCCCACCTCTCCCGCTCATCTCACTCGACTCGTTCCCCTTGGCGCCGCTTGGACGTTGCTACGACAGAAGCTCCGTCTGGCTGCTGCTGCTGCTTCTGCTGGACTCGCGGTCGCGTCCAGATCGCGACTCCTGTCAGCAGCTCACGGTGGCGCGGCGATAGCGTCCGAGACGTGCAACGTGACGGGGGGGACCCCCCCACAACCACCCCCGCGGGAGATAGCCCCCCACGCTTCACTTCCCACACCGCGGCGGCATTACTCGGCTCTTTTCACATCCCGTCTCCACCCCTCTGAGTCCGCAGCATTTCCCATACGCACCAACCCCACCCCTCGGTCCGCGGCCCTCACCGCGGGTGTCGCGGTGCGGTGGGTGGCGCGGCTGGCGCAGCTCTGTCCTTTGATTTTTCTATTCTCCCGAAATCTAAAAATATCCCCTTCTTCCCTGCGCAGGGAGGCGAGGGGCGGCCTGGCCCCAAGCCGCCCCTCCCCTCCCCGCCGCACGCAGGGTCCGCAGTTGAACCCGACGACGATTGCTGATTTACGACGAGTGCGGCGCTGAAGGGAGGAGGCCCCGCGCTCGCTGCGTGTGTCTCGTTCGCAGTGAGTCGCGCGGCGTTGTCTTCTTATCGGCTATGTACGCCGTGCGGACGCCGCCTGTGTGTCTGTGTGTCTGTGTTTTTGTGAGGAGCGGTGGCACATTGGTTAGCGCGCTGCACTTTAGGGACGAATATCTGCACCGGTACTGGGGCCTCACGTAGCTCGGCTCAGCCTTAAACGAGTACCCGGTGCGGTGTGTAAATATCTACACTGGGGAGACAAAGGCCGCTGAGCGTGGCGCTGGCCATCCAGCCTCTCGTGTGCCGTGTTGGCCTTCATGAGTGTTCGCTAACTACACGAGCCCCAATAGTCTGTCGAGGCTACACGGGAGATCTTTGTTTGTGCTGCTCCACCCAAGTGTCTGCATCATCACGACCGTGCTCCGGTTCGAGCCCTGCTCCCCCCCCCTCACTCAGTTTCCTCTGCTGCCCCTCCCCCCCCATTATCCAAGTTTCTCATCCTCACGCCGGGATCCCGCCGACCCGCGCGATCCTCCGTACCCATTAGCGCGCCTCGCGACGTGACCCGAGCCCTCTTTGTGGGACAGGTGAGGGGGGGGGGGCGGCGTTGCGTTACACGGAGCCGTGGGGCGGGAGTCGATGCGCGCTCCGCTTCCCGCTCGATCGCCCTCAGCGCGAGGGACGTGAACTCGTGACTCGGCTGGACGGCCGGGGGGCAGCCCCACTCCTCGGCTCGATCGCGACTGTTTCACGGCGAGGGGGTAACATGGGGGGGGGGGGGGGCGGATCTCTCGCAGGGGGTGACTTGGAGGTAGGTAGTTGGTTTGGGTGCGGAGGAGGATCCGAGCGATGAGGTCGCGACCCCCGATGTTAGTGTAACGAGATACACAAGCAGACAGCGCGCCTCCTCGCCGTATCCGTCCCTCCACGTCCCCGACGTCACAGCGATATTTGTACGCATCCCATCAGCCACACGGCCTTCTGGGAGTGCCTCATTTTAGCAGCAGCATTGGTTTCATAGCAGCAACACTCTGCGCCGGGTTTGGACATCCAGTGTTTCGTCAAAAGTCACGGTTTTTTGAACCAATGCTGAAGAACTCTGTCATAGACAACACAGGACCATGACTCGCTTCGTTGTGGAGAATATAAATAACGACGCACACTATTCGCCTCCTTCACATGTCGGTCCCTCTACGCAAACAATACAAACTGGTTGTGTTCAATCAGTGCCGTTGATATGCACTTCCAAATCGTCGTGTGGCTGATGGGATGTGTGAAAACACTTGCATATATGTGTTGTGAGGAGGTCACGTGCTCCAGGTGTTGTGAGGAGGTCACGTGCTCCAGGTGTTGCGAGGGGGTCACGTGCTCCAGGTGTTGTGAGGAGGTCACGTGCTCCAGGTGTTGAGAGGGGGTCACGTGCTCCAGGTGTTGAGAGGGGGTCACGTGCTCCAGGTGTTGTGAGGGGGTCACGTGCTCCAGGTGTTGAGAGGGGGTCACGTGCTCCAGGTGTTGAGAGGGGGTCACGTGCTCCAGGTGTTGAGAGGGGGTCACGTGCTCCAGGTGTTGAGAGGGGGTCACGTGCTCCAGGTGTTGAGAGGGGGTCACGTGCTCCAGGTGTTGAGAGGGGGTCACGTGCTCCAGGTGTTGAGAGGGGGTCACGTGCTCCAGGTGTTGCGTCGCCCTCCGCGCTAGACCTGCCGTGTTCATACTGTCCATTGCGGATGTACATGTACCCGGCCTGCAAACGCCCCTCGCCGCCACCTCCGCGGCTTGCGTCCGCCGTTGCGTGAGTTTAATTTCGCTTCGAGACGGAGCCGGCGGCAATTAACGCCTCCCGCGAGACGTGCGGTTGCCAAGCGACCATTCCGGGGAGGGGGGGGGGGTGTTGTGGGGGTCTGGTGGGGTGGTCGTCATTGGGGTTCTGATGATGGAGGAACTTGGGGAATGGGTTTGTTAGGTCCGGTGTGGAGGGATACTTGGAGGTTGGGGGGGGGGGTCTATAAAGGTGGGAGGGGGGGACTGTCCTCGCATGTAGGTAACATGGGTTCGCTTCAGGTCTCGGGGTTGTGTTTTGTGGGGGTCACTGTCGCCATGGAAACACCTGCCCCTCACCCCCGTGTTTATTTATTTAATCTCGCCGCGTCTTTGTGCGCGGGGTCTCCGCGCGAATGGGATCGCGCGTGCTCATGAATATTAATGCGGCGGCGCGCGGCTTACACGCGTGTGTGTTCAGGTGTGTGTGTGTACACGCGT